TTTTTTTTTTTTTTTTTTAATGTTTTATTTATTTCTGAGAGAGAGAGACAGCATGAGCGGGGGGGCAGGGGGGTCAGAGAGAGAGGGAGTCACAAACTCTGAAACAGCCTCCAGGCTTTGAGCTGGCAGTCAGCACAGAGCCCGACGCGGGGCTCAAACCCACGAATTGCGAGATTATGACCTAAGCAAAAGTCGGACGTTTAACCGACTAAACCACCCAGGCGCCCCTAAGTTCCTTCTATCCCGACTTTCTCTAGAGTCTTTGTTAAGAAGGGATGCTGTATTTTGTCAAATGCTTTTTCTGCATCTATTGACAGGATCATATGATTTTTATCTTTTATTGATGTGATGTGTCACATTGATTGATTTGCGAATGTTGAACCAGCCCTGTAACCCAGGAATGAATCCCACTTGATCTTGGTGGATGATTCTTTTTATGTGCTGCTGGATTCTATTTGCAGGGATCTTGTTGAGGATTTTTGCATCCATATTCATCAAGGGTATTGGCCTGTAGTTCTCTTTTTTTGCTGGATCTCTGTCTGGCTTGGAAATCAGAGTGATGCTGTCTTCATAAAATGAGTCCGGGTGTTTTCCTTCAATTTCTGTTTTCTGGAATAGCTTGAGAAGAATTGGGATTAATTCTGTATGAAATGTCTGGCAAAATTCCCCAGGGAAGCCATCAGGTCTAGAGCTCTTATTTGTTGGGAGATTTTTGATCACTGATTCGATTTCTTCACTCGTTATAGGTCTGTTCAGGTTTTCTATTTCTTCCCGTGTGAATTTTGGTAGTGAGTGTGTGTTTAGGAATTTGTCCATTTCTTGTAAGTTGTCCAATTTGTTGGTATATAATTTTTCATAGTATTCCCTGATAATTGCTTGTATTTCTGAGGGGTTGGTTGTAATAAGTCCATTTTCATTCATAATTTTGTCTATTTTGGTGCTCTCTCTTTTCTTTTTGAGAAGCCTGGCTAGAGGTTTGTCATTCTGTTTATCTTTTCTTCAAAAAACCAACTCTTGGTTTCATTGATCTGTTCCATTGTTTCTTTGGTCTCAGTGTTGCTTATTTTTTATCTAATTTTTACTATTTCTCTTCTTCTACTGGGTTTAGGGGGTTCTTGTTGCTCTGCCTCTAGTTCCTTTAGGTGAGCTGTTAGATTTTGGATTTGTGCTTTTTTAAATCTCTTGAAATAGGCCTGGAGAGCAATGTACTTTCCTCTTAGGACTGCCTTTGCCGTATCCCATAGGTTTTGGATTGTTGTGTTTTCATTTTCATTTGTTTCCATATATTTTTTAATTTCATCCCTATTTGCCTGATTGGCCCATTCATTCTTTTTTTTTTTTAATGTTTTATTTATTTCTAGGAGAGAGAGAGACAGTGTGAGCAGGGGAGGGTCAGAGAGAGACGGAGTCACAGACCGAAATAGGCTCCAGGCTCTGAGCCGGCAGTCAGCACAGAGCCTGATGCGGGGCTCGAACCCATGAACCGCGAGATCCTGACCTAAGCAAAAGTCGGACGCTTAACCGACTAAGCCACCCAGGCGCCGCCCCCATTCATTCTTTAGTAGGGTGTTCTTTAACCTCCATGTTTTTGGAGGTTTTCCAGACTTCTTCCTGTAATTGATTTCAAGTTTCATAGCATTATGATCTGACAGTGTGCATGTGCATAGTATGATCTCAATTCTTTATATTTATCAAGGGCTGCTTTATGTCCCAGTATGTTATCTATCTTGGAGAATGTGCCATACGCACTTGAGAAGAAAGTAAATTCCCTGGCCTCAGGATGTAAAGTTCTAAATATATCCGTCAGAGCCATCTGGTCCAATGTGTCTTTCAAGTCTATCATTTCTTTAGTGATTTTCTGTTTGGTTGACCTATCTATTGCTGTAAGTGGAGTATTAAAGTCCCCTGCTATTAGCACATTCTTATCTATAAGCTTGTTTCTGTTTGTGATTAATTGTTTTAGATATTTAGGTGCTCCCATATTCAGGGCATAGACATTTATGATAGTTAGTTCTTCCTGATGGATGGACCCTGTAATTATTATGTAGTGCCCTTCTTCATCTCTTGTTATTGTCTTTAATTTAAAATCCAGTTTGTCTGGATATATAGCTACTCCAGCTTTCTTTTGATTTCCCGTAGCATGATATATATTTCTCCATCCCCTTACTTTTAATCTGAAGGTACCTTCCAGTCTAAAATGAGTTTCTTGTAGACAGCATATAGATGGATTTTGTTTTTTAATCCATTCTGCTACCCTGTGTCTTTTGATTGGAGCATTCAGCCCATTTACATTCAGTGTTATTATTGAAATATGTGGGTTTAGAGTCTTTGTATCTTTTGTAGGGTTCATGTTTGTGGTGGTGTCTCTGGTATCTTTGTTCCTTGCAAGATTTCCCTCTGAGAGTCCCCCTCAGGATTTCTTGTAGGGCTGGCTTAGTGGTGACAAATTCTTTCAATTTCTGTTTATTTGGAAAGGTTTTTATCTCTCCTTCTATTTTGAACGACAGGCTTGCTGGATAGAGGATTCTTGGCTGCATATTTTTACTGTTCATCACATTGAAGATCTCCTGCCATTCCTTTCTGGCCTGCCAAGTTTCAGTAGATAGGTCTGTCACCACTCTGATAGGTTTCCCTTTGTATGTTAGGGCCCTTTTCTCCCTAGCTGCTTTCAGAATTCTCTCTTTGTCCTTATATTTTGCCATTTTTACTATGATATGCTGTGCAGAAGATCAATTCAAGTTATGTCTGAGGGGAGTCCTCTGAGCCTCTTGTATTTCCACATTTACTTCCTTCTCCAGGTTGGGGAAGTTCTCTGCTATAATTTGTTCCAGGACTCCTTCAGCACCTTTCCCTCTCTCTTCCTCTTCTGGGATTCCTATGATATGGATATTGTTGCATTTGACCCCATTGCTGAGCTCTCGAATTCTTCTTTCATGTTCCTGAGTCAGTTTGTCTCTTTTTTTGTCAGCTTCTTGTTTTTCTATCATGGTGTCTTCTAAATCACTTATTCTCCTTTCTGCCTCGTCAATCCGTGCATTGGAGGCCTCTAATTTATTATGTATCTCATTTATCGCATTTTTTAATTCTTCATGCCTATTTTTATTTCCATTTTGTCTGTAGCCATAGTTTCTTTGATGTCCCCTATGCTTTTTTCAAGCCCAGGTATTAATTTTATGATTATTATTCTAAAATCTTTTTCAGTTATGCTGCTGATATCTGTTTTGGGCAGTTCATTAGCTGTCATTTCTTCTTGGAGTTTCTTTGGAGGAGAGCTCTTTCGTTTCATCATTTTAGTTAGCTTTCTGACTCTTGTTAGATTTAAAGACTACACCTATGAGCGCTGCTGTATCCAAGAAAAGACTCTTTGTCCAGGGCCTATCCTTTCAGAGAGTGTTTTTTGAGTGGTATCTCTTGGTCTCTCTTGTTGGGACCTTGGTTATTTTATTTTCCTACTCATAATGATATTTGGGACCCTCCACCTTGTGTACTCTGGCTTGTTTCTTGAGGTAGCCATTAGAAGGCTTTCTGAGTGGATTCTGCGTCCTTTCTCTCCCAGTCTCTTGGGTTCTGTAAGGTTTCCTATGGCTTCAGATCTTTTCCGTGTGAGATATGGGGGCAAGTGCAATGCACAGAGCTCCCTTCTTCTCCGCCATCTTGTCCCCTTCCCGAGTACAGAGAATTTTCTGTATTTCTTTTCTTCCTTTTCCTTTTCCTCACACCCTTTCCTTCATCTGCAACACCTAGAACAGGGATAGAGTATTTTGCATAGAAAAGGTGCTCAGTAACTATTTGCTGAAACACATCATAGTCAGATAATGCACTTTTCTACTTGTCCACCTTTCTTTACTTAGACCTAGACTGACTCAGGCATTGCACTACCAGCTCTAGACTTGTTTGTCTATACTATAGAATTATTGGTACTGAAATTCTGTCTTTAGAGATTCATGCTTTGTCTCAGGCTTGCTTTCCTTTTATTTGCAAAGGCATTTGTGGAAGGTGAGTCTTTTGTGTAAGCAACTCTCTAGTGAGATCCTTTCTTGGAAACAGGTAAATGTTGGCAGAGATAAGGAAAAATTAGGAAGGTACTTACAGGAAAAGTCGATGGTAAGGAAAGGTGATACAATAAAAATGGTGGAAACAGCACCATACAAGGGAGGCTCCAGTGGAGATCCTGAACTTTGATCTCCTTTACAATTTGGGCAGTGAATGGATGTCAGTGTGGTTGGTGCATTTGGAGAATGAGTTGGGCAGCTTTCTCTCTTCTTTTTTTCCTTTCTTAGCATTTCACTGCATTGAGGCCATGCAGGCCTGCCTCACTCAGGACCACCTGGTGGTGGAGTGGCGAAGCTCTGCTCCAGCAGTAGACACGTGGATGGTTGAGTGGTTCCCAGATTTGGACGTAGAGCCCTCCACTATTTCCTGGGAATCTGTGTCTCAGGCCACAAACTGGACAATCCGGCAAGGTAGCCATTGTGGACCCTATAAGTTTCCTCTGTGTAGGATTCAGTTTCATTTCCATAGTTTTAAAATCTTTAACTTTGACTTGAAAGCTGTAGATGTGTTTAATAACATTTGACAAAAATAGTGCAAACTTAGTGAAGTGAGATTACTTGGCATTTCGCAGTGAGGCTGTGCTGGGAAATCATGGGTATCAGAGCAGGTATCTGTCCTGTTTCCAGGTGGAAAACACCATGTTAACACCACCATCAGAGAGCCTTTTCTGGGTGTCTTGATCATGTGGACAACGTTAGAGTTTATATCCCATTCCAACAAACACTGATCACAGATAAGTGAGGCTTTACCCTCCTAATCCTGTCAGTCCAGCCATTTCTTAATACTTAATAGCACCCATCTAAGGATTTATACTCCTGTAGGGATGCAGGAAGACAGAAGAGCTAGAATTCATGGTATCTGAGTTCTCTGAGTGATGTGTTGTTGACAGAAAGATTCCATTTTTTCTGCGGTATTTCCAAATCAGGTATCAAAGTCCATGATGGAGGAGGGACTGGATCTCTTTTCCTTTCCTGAATGACCCTGCCATTTTTGTCAAAGTGGTGTGGACTTTGTTCTAAGAGTTAATTTTAAAAGGTTACAACTAGAATAGACTTTAGACACCATCCAACCTAATCTTATTTTCCATATGTGGAAACTAGACAAATAAGAGTATTTTCAGTAAGTTGTGGCCATAAGTTGGTTTAGTGGTTCTTCTCCTTTGCCATGCCCTGAACTAAGGCTCGTTTTCTGTCTCTCTCTTGTTTACAGATGAATTAAAACCTTTATGGTGCTATAACATCTCTGTATATCCAGTGTTGGGAGATCGAGTGGGCAAACCATTTTCTATCCAGGCTTATGTCAGAGAAGGCAGTATGTATGAAAAGCCCCTGTGGGGCAAGGAAACACTGGGAGGGGGAGTGCTATCCAACATCCAGACAAGGCTGTGGATGTCTGCAGCTCATTCACTGTTGCCTTAGTGTTTAGCGTGTGCTGCACCTTCAGCTTGTGGTAAGCTACATATGCTTGACACAATTGTGGTCAAGTTGTAGATCGACTGAATTTCAAAGCTGCACTACAAGTTAGAGATCATCAAGTCCAGTCCCCTCATTTTATAACTAGAAAATCAAAGCCCAGAGAGGTGAAATAGTTTGTGCAAACTTACCAAGAAACTTTGTGCAAATAGCCCTGTAAGCAGAAATAACATTTAGTTAAGACCAAGTTAGGGACCTTACAGAGTTAATCATAAATTGAAGATGCTAATAAATTATTTTTAGTGGTGTAATTGTAATCAAGGGTTTTACTGGTAAACTGCTCAGACTTTATCTTTTGGATGTTAACCTCTGTCACATTAGAAAACACATCCCTGTCACTAAAAGATAGCCCATGGGGGCATATCCTTCACCTATATTTGATGATACCTATTAAAGATATGAGTAGAAGCTGAATGCAAAATGAGAGAAAGAGAGCCATAGAAGGTAGATTTTTTGTTTGTTTTTTAAATTTTTTAATGCTTTATTTATTTCTGAGAGAGAGAGAGGCAGCCTGATCAGGGAAGGGTCAGAGAAAGAAGGAGACACAGACTCTGAAACAGGCTCCAGGCTCTGAGTTAGCTGTCAGCACAGAGCCCGATGCGGGGCTCAAACCCACGAATTGTGGGATCATGACCTGAGCCGAAGTCGGAGGCCCAACCAACTGAGCCACCCAGGTGCCCCGAAGGTACTTTTTTTAGCAGGCCTTTGATCCTGCTTTTATTCTCTTCAAGATGGATAATTCCAGAAAACAGTATTCCCAAACAAGAGGATTCATCATTTACCTACTCAGCTCCTACCTCCCACCTTCAGCACTGATTTCACTTTCAGTACTAGCCAGAGCCTTTGTGGGGAAGGATCTCCTTAGCTGTGACTCAGTGTTTATTGTTTTTCTCCCTGTTGTAAAGTTCCATCAGAAGGCCCTGTGACCCAGGCAGACAACATTGGTGTGAGGACAGTCACAATCAAATGGAAAGAGATTCCCAAGAGTCAGAGAAATGGTTTCATCACCAACTACACCATATTTTATCAAGCTGAAGATGGAAAGGAATTCTGTAAGTGTGCTTATAGCCAAGTTGGAAACCCCCTAAAACCCAAACATGATATGGGTAGACCTGTCATAGGGATTGGCGCCCTGTAATCTTGCATGAGTCACTTAGCTTCTTTGAGCCTCTCTGATAGTGAGGCCAAGAGCACTTACCTCTTGCTTTTTTTGGAGTCAAATGTGAGTGAAGTGACAGTCGTGTAGGAACCATGGGAGTTGATACAATATGTCCTGGTCATGCTGTGAACAAGTTGGCCTCCTGGGAGATTCCCCATTAGTCTGGAGTAGGGTGTGTTTGGGTTAAACAGTAGAGTGGTGACACTTAGCTCATTGCAGGACTCTTTACCCTGACTCCTGCAGCCCATTGCAAAGTCGTACTTTTCTTGAATCCACACTATCTCCTGATATCCTACAGGTAGGCGTGGATTCTTAAATATAGACAGATGTTTTTACGGAAAAATACATATAACTTTAAATTCACCTCTTAAGACGTTTGAAAATGTACAATTTAGTGACATTAAGTGTACTGATGATGATGTGCAACAATTATCTCTACCTGTTTCCATCAGCAAAAGAAACCTGGTACCCATTAATCAGTGTCTTCTCATTGTCTTCTTCCTACAGTCTCTGGAAACCACAAAATTCTTTTCTGTCTTTTTGATTTACCTCTTCTGGGTATTTCATATAAATGGAGTCATACAATATGAGGCTATTTGTGCCTGGTTTCTTTTACTTAGCATAATGTTTTCAAAGTTTATCTATCTTGTAGCTTGTATTAGTATCTCATTCATTTTTTTTTTTTTTTTTTTTTTTAAATATTTTTATTTATTTCTAGGAAAGAGAGAGAGAGACAGCGTGAGCAGGGGAGGGTCAGAGAGAGAGTGTGATTCATATTCTGAAACAGGCTCCAGGCTCTGAGCTGGCAGTCAGCACAGAGCCCGACGCGGGGCTCGAACCCACGAACCGCGAGATCATGACCTAAGCGAAAGTCGGACGCTTAACCGACTAAGCCACCCAGGCGCCCCGTATCTCATTCATTTTTATAGCTAAAGAATATTCTTTTATATTGATATTCTGCATTTTTTTAAATCCATTCATCAGTTGATGAGCATTTGGTTGCTTTCACCTTTTGGCTACTGTAATTAATGCTGCTATGAATATTTGTGTGCAAATACTTGTTTGAGACTCTGCTTTTAATTCTTTGGGGCATATACCTAGGAGTAGAATTGCTGGGTCATATGGTAATTCTGGCTTAACGTTTTGAGAAACCACCTGTTTTCCATAGCAGCTGCCTCATTTTACGTGCCCACCAACAATGTCTGATCGTTCGAATTTCTCCACATTCTTACCAACACTTATTTTATGTTAAAAAAAAATTATTATGGCTATACTCATGGGCATGAAATGGCTTCTCAATGTGATTTTTGATTTGTATTTCCTTAATACCTAATGATGTTGAGCATCTTTGCACATGCTTATTGGCCATTTGTAGATCCTTTTTTAATGTTTTTTTAATTAAAATATTTTTTTTATTATTGAGACAGAAACAGGGCATGAGTGGGGGAGGGGCAGAGAGAGAGGGAGACACAGAATCGGAGGCAGGCTCCAGGCTCTGAGCTGTCAGCACAGAGCCTGTCGCGGGGCTCAAACCCATGAACCGTGAGTTGATGACCTGAGCTGAAGTCTGACACTTAACCGATTGAGCCACCAGGTGCCCCGGCCATTTGTATATCTTTGAGAAAGTCTTTTCAATTTCTTTGCCCATTCTTAAATTGGGTTGTCTTTCAGTTGTTGACTCCTAAGAGTTTAAATTTATATTCTCAATAGAAGTTCCTTATCACATATGTGATTTGCATATATTCCCACTTTGTGGATTGTCTTTACTTTTTTGATAATGTCTTTTGATGCACAGAAGCTTTAATTTTCGTGAAATCCAGATTAATCTATTTTCTTTTGTTGTTTGTGTGTTTGGTATTATATCTAAGAAACCACTGGCAAATTCAAGGGTACCATTTACCCTGTGTTTGTCTTCTAAAAGTTTTATAGTATTAACTCTTAGGTTTAGGTCTTTGATCCATCTTTACAGGATAATTTTAAGCAGAACATGGATAGGTGGGTTGAGGTATGAGATGGGCTGGCTTGGAGGTAGGTGCAGTTTCCAGTGCTCTTATTTCATTCCTCCTAAAGAACACTTTTTTATTTGGCCTTGGCTCTGGTGTTTGAGTTGTATATTTTTCCTTTAGCCAAGACAGTCAACTCCAACATCCTCCAGTATGACCTGGAGTCCCTGACTCGAAAGACTTCTTACAGTCTTCAAGTCATGGCCAGTACGAGTGCTGGGGGAACCAACAGCAGCAAGATAAACTTCAAGACATTGTCAATCAGTGAGTATTTTCTTCAAGCCTTGGATAAGTCCCTTTGGCATTTTCCTTAGGCCAGTTAGAGATGATGTTTGCCAAAGGAGGAAGCCAAACAAGAGGGTGGTACGGAGTGAGAAGCACCATTTGCCTTGTGGCTCATTGACCTTCTTGGAAGGTGTATGGGTGAGGAGAGAACAAGAGTAGACACATTGAGAGCTGGATTGGGAACAACAGGTCATTTTTCTCCTTACTCATGGATAGCCCCCTGTTATCTTGAAGTGAAGGGATCAAGTTAATGACAGCTTTTCTCTCAGTTCAAAACAGCTCCTGCTTCGAGATATAGTGACTAGTTTCTGTGTGTCACAGGTTACTGCACAGTGGGACCTTGTAGGCAAAACCTTGGTTGAACAAGCACCACTGACCCACAGTGGTGGGGGTCACTGATCGATCATTTGTGCAGATTTTGGAGCAAAAACATACATGATATGTTCTGCTTATTAACTTTTACATTAAAAAAGTAGAGAGAAAAATGTAATAAATATCAAAATATAAAATGTAATATAATGTATGATGGTTATGGGAAATATTCAAGAGGAAAAGAGGATGGAATGAGAAGAGAAATCAAGAAGAAAGAAAGAAGGGAATGGGAGAAACAGAAATATGTTTTTTCTCAAGTCCTTGGGGGGGCAGAGATTTGATATGATATATTACAATTGTTTTAAGAATTATTTATCTTAAAAGTGAAGGTACATTGCCAGTTTTTACATTGAAAGCAGAAAATACTGGTTTAAGGACTGGTTTAAGTACTCTTAAAAACCTCTTGCTCATTACATTGTTAAAAGAATAAAAGTATCTTTATGGTTCTGGAAAAGATGACTATAGCATGTGTTTTTTACATAGAAAACATGTTCTATTTTTATGGGCTAACTGCCTTTTTGGTTTTTTTTTTTTATATTATTCTTTAGAGTCTTTTAAAATCATGCTGTATTTTCACAACACTGGGCACACATTGCATTATCTTCTAGAATTTTCTCCGTGGTCAAAGTTAAGGCAAGAGCCTTCCTTGAAGCCTCGATGTTTCTTACACTTGTCTACACATTACACATCTCCCTCCTCCTGTCTCTGTTCCCTCTATAGTCTGTTCTCCACACAGCAGCCAGAGCTTAAAACCCTAAACTGCTGCTTGAAATCCACCAGTGGCTTCTGTTGTATTTTAAGTAAAATTCAAACTCCTACCCATAGCTTTCAGGATCCTTTATGATCTGTTGGTTGCTAACCTCATCTCCTACAATTTTCTGCTTGTATCTATGTTCTTTAACTTCTTACTGCTTTGAAGCCTTTGCATCTACTGTTGCTTCTGCCAGAAATGCTTTCATATTTTTGAATAGCCAGTTTTCCAGCCTATCTAAAGTTACTAAATTTTCTTCCACCTTACCTCAGATATATACCTGTTATATCTTAAATAATCTTTTTTTATTGTCTGAATTCTCTTACCAGAATGTAGGCTTCATGAGAGTAGGGATCTTATATTTCTTTTTTTTTTTTTTAATTTTTAATGTTTATTTTTTGAGAGAGAGACAGAGTGCAAGCAGGAGAGGGGCAGAGAGAGAGGGAAACACAGAATCCAAAACAGGCTCTAGGCTCTGAGCTGCCAGCACAGAACCTGACCATGGGGCTTGACCCACAGACCATGAGGTCATGACCTGAGTCGAAGTTAGACACTTCACTGAGCCACCCAGGTTTCCCTGGGATCTTGTACTTCTTACTTGTTGCTGTTTATTACCCAGCACGGTGTTTGGCAAATGGTAAGTGCTCAGTAAATATGTACTGAATGAATGAAGTTAGAGAATGAACCTGGTGAACATAGTATCTGTCACTGTTATTCAAGGGGAAGAGAACTGGATGAAGAGCCATAAGTACTAGGTGGTTTTTTTTAATGAATAAATTTGAATTCAGTTGAATTGAAAGAAAACTCATAAGGAATGTGTTACTAAAGCTACTGGAAGAAAAAGTTAATATTTGGTATATTTGTTAAGAAAGTGAGGAGCTCATCCTTCTACTGACTTTTGTTCTCCTGTTCCCAAAGGTGTCCTTGAGATTTTCTTTATAACTTCTTTGGTTGGAGGTGGCCTTCTTATTCTCATCATCATGACAGTGGCATATGGTCTCAAAAGACCCAAGTGAGTTTATAGGCAACAGAAAGGGGTGGAAGGCATCATGGGTGGAAGAGGGCACTCTCTCATTAAGGGGGTGTTGACTCATTTATTAATTTGATATGTATTTATTGAGTTTATTATATGCCACACCTTACCAGAAATCTGACGAAACGAGTACTTTCACCCTCACAGTCCCATGCACCAGGCTTAGGTCAGGGTTTTGCCAGCTGCCCCACAGGCTTTATCTTTTCTGTTCTTCATCTGAGATTAAAATTAGAGAGAAGGTCCTTTTTCTCAGTATCTGGCAGCAGCAAGAGGCCTCAAGGCCACTAGCTTCTCTCCCAGGCAGAGCAGGGAGTATACTCATAGAATTAGAGCATTGGCCAGTAGTGTGTCCAGAACAGACTTGTTCCTTGCTCGTGGTACAGTCCTGGAGGGCTGACTACATGGGCATTTGTCCTACCTGCCCTGGCCACTATGGGAAAGGAAGTTCATCCTCAGGGTCAGAGGCTTTCTCTCCGTAGACAGCCTCATGCTACCCTGCTGGTCAAGAGTTCCTTCCCTGAGGGATCTCTCTCTCTACAGCTGTACAGCTGTGGGCCTTCTCTGCCAAGTAGCCATGCTTAGTTATGGTTAAGTGAATGTCAGCCTCATTTCCAACTAAAGGTAGAAACCAAATCACCAGCCAAACTCTTGTATATTTTGCATGTGTAACAAGATCCCAGGTGATGGTGCTGCTGGATGGGAGCACACTTTAAGAATCACTGCTATGAAGTATGGGTATCTTATCAAACTTTGAATATTTCCTTCCTGGAGAGTAATTCTCAAAGACATGGTTCTGTGATGGTGTGATTTCTAGCATCAGGACCTTGGGTGGAGATGGAGGGGCAGGGGAGGGTAAGAAACATTATCTTTCCATTACATCCTATTGATGACTTGCAGTTTCACTCCCCAGAGTACTTTGTTTTCTCAGTTTCTGTCAGGAGGTCAGAAGCCTACCTTTATATATTAGGGAGCCATACAACTCCCTATAGCAAAGCTCCAGTCTTTTGACATAGCCATACTTCTTGAACTTACTTTGTTTTAAAATATTATCTCTTATTAGCAAATTGAAGCACCTGTGTTGGCCCCATGTCCCCAACCCTGCTGAAAGCAGTATAGCCAAATGGCGTGGAGATGATTTCAAGGTAAATAGTCCTGTTTTTGTTAAGGAATCATTGAGCAGGCTGGTTGTAGGAAGCAAAGAAGAGCTGTGGAGGTGAGGAGGAGTCCTAGACTGAGATTTTAGAGGGTTTACAGGAACCATGAGATCGTGACCTGAGCTGCAGTCAGATACTTAAATCTGAGCCACGCAGGTGCCCTTAGTTTCATAAATTTTTAAATCAAAATCTGTTTTGAAATTTTTAAGGTGTAATTTCTTAATTAAGTAAAAAAAAAGCTCTATCAAATATCACCTTTAAAGTTTTATTATTCAAAGACAGTTTCCATTATTTCTTGATGTTGGAATTTTTAGTATTAGCCCTTATTTCAACTCAGAAGCCTTTTTCAAATGTGAACATTTTTATTTATTTACTTAAATTTTTGTTATTTGTGTTATTTCTGTTTTCTTCTTTATCAGCTGTGTATTACCCTGTTTACTCTGCTACTTATTAGAAGTTACTAAGAGAGTAAATGAATTTATAGGCAGTATTGTCAGATGTCTAAAATACTTATTTTAAAAAGTTCATTTGTTTGTTTGTTTAGAGATAGAGGAGGGGGCAGAGGGAGGGAGAGGAAGAATCCCAAGCAGACTCCAGTGCGGGGCTCAATCGCACAAGGCTGGGATCATTGCATGAGCCAAGATAAAGAGTTGGATGCTTAACCAACTGAGCTATCCAGGTGCCTGTAAAATGCTTTCTGAGTAATGTAGGGCACACTTCCCTGGAAGGCACATATTACTGATTGCCAGGCACTGAGGTAGAGTCTTAGTACATAAAGATGACTAAGACACTGCCTCTGCCTCGGAGACCACCTTTGATTTTCTGGTGATGTTGGACAAGTCATTTGTCTTCATGATAGTGGTTTTTCCATCTGTAAGAGTTCTAGTTTTGATGTTCCCATCTGAACTGTGGTTTTGTGAACTTAAGATTCTGTGGCAAATAGCCTCGAGCTCTCTACAAGAAAAAAATTGAATACCTTGTGCTTTTCTCAGGAAATGGGCCAATGTTGTCATGCTCCTATGGAGGGATATATGGAAGTGATTGGCCATCACTTCTGGTCTTTGGAAAGAATGTGGGGGGCTGGTTGAGATATGAAGACATTGGTTGTCCCAAGCCTATTGAGGTTTTGACTACCTCATGTGTAGTTTCAAAATGATCATTGTATGTATCCCTTTCTCTTTTTCAGGATAAGATAAATTTGAAGGGATCCAAGGACCTTGTGAACATGGAAGAAGACAGAGTTCTAAAACCATGTTTTGCCCCTAGTGACCTTATTGACAAGTTGGTGGTGAACTTTGAGAATTTTCTGGAAGAAGTTTCCACAGAGGAACTTGGAAAGGGTCAGGAAAACATTTTGAGAGAGGAGAAGAATGAGTATGTGACTTCTCCATATCGACTTTATTGTCCTCCCATTTCAACTGAGATTCCACAGAGAAAATCCCGACAGTTGTGTTCTAGAATACCAGAGGGGATTGGCTTAGAAAGCAAAGAACAGCTTTTTTCTTCTGTTCAGAGTTTAGGGCTGGACCATCTCTGTGAAGGGGAACCTAATCCATACTTGAAAAATTCAGTGACAACCAGAGAATTTCTCACGTCTGAAAAACGTCCAGAGCAAATCAAAAGGGAAGTCTAATTGTTGCTGTGGCTTGAATCCCCCTTGGTCTCAGTGTGGGTCACTCTTGCAGAGAAAATGTATCATAACTTAGCCAGAAGAGCTTCCTTGGTTGTCTCCCCACCCTTGCTTTGTGTTAGAGAAACTGTCACACAACCTGAGTGGCCTGTTGAACTTGTTACAGATGTGTAACTTGTCTGAAAGAGGGATGGTGACATGTCTGAGCACTTTGCAGAAGAAGAGTGTTTATTTTCTTTTGTTCAGGTAACAAGCTCTCACTGAGGTCTCTGACATAATTATTTTAAGGGACAGTGGGGGATCTAAGGCAGATATATCTTGCCTTCCCTAGGAATTAGGTCATTGCCACAGCTTTTGCTCAAACTACTCCTCAGAGATCCAGCAGACGTTCCCATTGCCAGAGGACAGTGGTCTGGTAGGAGGTGGGAATCTCTCCCTTTACCTTGATCTCACTTCAGTTCTGTGTTCCAACTTCAAGGTAGCCCTGAGATCTCACTTTTGAGATTTTGTTTCTCCCTCAATACAGGGGCAGGGGAAGCAAAGTGGCCTTGCTGATGGTGTTCCTGCCTGAGGCTTCTCATTACCCTTGTAAAATCTCAAGTGTCTGCAGCAACACCTCCACCCCGGACTGTTGCCTCTAGTTCACAGCACATTGGCCTCTGGCAAATTGAGGAATGTGGGGATCTCAGCACGGCACTAGGGAGTGGACTCTAGGCTGGGCCAGCAGATCTGCTCAATCTTCAGGTAATTTCCCAGGTCTGGAAAGTTCCCAAAGGCCTTTGCTGGCTCTTTATCTTGCACCCAAACCTGGGAGTAGAAAGGCACCAAATACTGCATGACTTTTGTGCAGGGACTCAGGCCCTAGAGCTGGCTCAGAGCCTAGGAATACATCCTAAGCATCCTTCAAAGGCCTCTTTCCTGAAGGACCTGAGCAGGGCATGGAAACATGCTACTGTAACTTTGCTGCTCTGACTCATGACTCCTCTTCCTTCCCCTTGGCCATGCACAGAGCTTATGACAGTCAGGAGAGCCTTTAGTCCAAGTGCTAATGGCAGGATTCAGTTGCTGAGAATTGGGAACTGAGGGCTGGCACCAGGCTAGCATCTTTACCACAGTGATGCCCGATGACTTCCCAGTATGCGGCTTTGGCTCATCTGGCTTTTGGGGGAGCTTGCTGAGAACCTGATGAGATCTGGGGAGGCCAGGCAATGAGTGAGCAGCTGAGGTGCTTTGAACCTGGCATTTACCAGCCAGAAAGGCTGATGTTAATTTTTATAGGAAAATTCGAGAAGTCAGTCCTTGAGTAGCAGGCATGAACTTCACAAGCCAACAATTCAGATGTGCAAAAAATGTCACTTTACTTTTCTATAACTGAAATTAATTTCTGACTCAAGCCTGTGACATTTTGAAGTAACCACAGACCGATTAGATGGCTTCTGAGTAGCTTTGGGTTTGTAGCTCAGTTGTGTCAGGATTTTGACCTGCCCTGGGACTGATTCTGAGTGCCACGGGATATTCAGTGGAGCAGCAGAGTTCTGTCTCCCGTTTGTTGTCTTCCTAATGCTGGTTCAGGGATGTGCCTATGGCCCCACCTGTTGGGTCACCTGCCACTTTTCTCAGCCAATTGCTGTGTCCTTATCCTGGGTACAAGCATGTGGTGCACCTCTCCCAGAACTTTCTCCTCATTGAATCTCCAGTGTCTGCAGCACCTTTTTGCCCCCAAAATTCTTCATGCCTACTTGTACAGAATAGTATCTGCTGACAAGGCATGGAATGCTGGAGGCCTGGGGCAGGGGCTGGGGCAGCTGCCCCTTTGTATTGGGAGTAGACAGGGACCAAATGCAAGGGATACCTTGGATCCATCTGTAGTAGGCTCTCTCTGCCCTTTCTCCCCCACCCCAATGGTTGTGACCCAGGCATTTCTATGAGTTCCTTGTCCCCCAGGGTTCCAGATGGGGTCCTTTCTACCTGTTTCTTTGAATTTGTGATCCTTAGGGATGTGCTAGCCTCATAGTCCACAACTGTTGTCTTTTCTGTGGCCATCTGCTCACCTCCCACTGAGGGCTCTTCTCAAATTCCATATGAGGGGAAGGGAGAAGGAAGTGATTCCCCCTACCCCCATCTTGTTTGTTTCCCACCTGGTTGAAGCTTTTGAACCTAAAACCCAAGAATTCTGTGTCTGGGGAGAGAGGAGGGGTCCCAGCTGGCTCCTGTGAGTGGGTTTCAGAGATGAAGACATTCCCCTCTGCTTCTCCCTCAATCATCCATTAAAGCCTGAAGTGTCTTCAGGTGGACAGTTGGTAAATGCCATACACGTGGCCCCTCTGCTTCATCCCTTCCTCCTGCCCATCTTCTGCTTTCCCACGTTTCCCAAAGACTTCTCTTCTTTTTAACACTTCCTTTTTCTTCTTTCTTTTCTTTTCTTCTTCTTTTCCCGCTAGCCTCCTTTTATCATTTTCCACACTTACTTTTGTTGCCTTGAGGGAACAAGGGACTTTCCCTGTTGCCTAGGGAAGTAGGGACTCTGTGTTGTGTTCTAGGTGACCCAAGGTAGGTCCTAAGAGTCAGTGTTGCTGCCAGTAAGGGGAGTGGGAACGTCAGACGCTCCTTCAGCGGGCGGCACACCACTCTCCAGAGCAGATTTCCCGGGCACAGGCCTAAAAGCTAAGAAGTCACGGTGGCCTTTCTTTCCTGGGAATCGAGTCATAAACTGTCCCCACTCCCAGGACCCTGGGGTGCCTCTGTGGCCTGAAAAGGCCATCTGCATTTTCTGTTATATCAAAGAGACAGACAAAACACGAACAGGAAAACATGTTATTTCAGCAAGGTCATGAAACACTGATAACATTCTCAGTCAAGTTTTCTAGGGCTCAGAACCATGTAAATAGCTATGTTGGTGCTTTATTAATGGCACTAATTTAAAAGGATGGCAGAAAAGCCAACTGTAGACTTAAAAAAAGGTCTTTCTTTCATTGTGGTTTCTCAGGAGGCAGCAGTAAACCACAAACAGTACAAACGCTGTAAGGGTGAGGTGGGTTTTGAAAGGGGGCAGGAGATGGGGAGTGGGAGTTTGCAAAGGAGAGATGTTTTATGTGGGTCCCAGGATGCCCACTGCGGCTTCTCCCCTGTGTGAGGGAAGCCTGTGCCTGGCTGCCTAGCCACCCTGAGGGGGTTCTGGTGCCTTCTCCAGCACATCCCTAGTTATTGCCTGCTATTTGCAAACTGGCCTTCAGCATAAATCTGGGCATTGTGTTTGTAGAGCCCATGACCCAGAAATGATGTTGACATTTTAAAAGTCTGCTGGATAACAAAATCAAAGGAAGAATGTTTAGTGACATATGAAAACTATATGGAATTTACATTTGTATCCATAAATGAAGCTTAAATTGGAAAAGAGCCACAACCTTCATTTACATATCACCTGTCTTTTTTCCTCACACAAAAGTAGAACCGAGTAGTTGTGACAGAGAATTTCTCCCACAAAGCCTAAGATGTTCACCACCTTTCCCTGTACAGAAAAAGTGGCTTACCTATGGGTAGCCCACCAACACGAGGCTCAGACTGCCCAGTGTTGTCCCACAGAGTGTTTTAACTTTGAATTAGCTGCTAATTAAACAATTTCAGGTTATGTTCATTCTGGATTTCTGAGTAGGGACTGCCTCTTTTAGAAGGGCACACACTCTCTGGCTCCCCACCCCAGCCCCCTCAGCTGCCCATAGCTAAGGTGGAGAGTTAGTGGTTGGTTATCACCTACTCCAGTGGTTCTTCCTACAGCTTATTCTGTGCCCCTACCTCAGACACGTGGCCTGCATGTATTTTGGGAGGGTGCTGCTGGCCTCTAGTGGGTAGAAGCCAGCACTGCTGGCAGTAATCCTGCAATGAACCAAATAGGTCCCACAAGAAAAAATTATCTGGCCCCAAATGCGAGTAGTGTTGAGATTTAGAAATCCTGGCTGAGCTACCTCTGCCCACTGAGCATCCATAGGTGTCCCCCACTGTTTTCTTTGTAAATTTAAATTTTTTCTTTGTAAATTTAAATTTTGTTTTGGATTCTACCAACATCAACAGCAAAAATCTCTAAATACCAATTATTTGTATCATTCTTAATTCCTTCCTGAAATGATCTGCATATACTTATATACATGTTCATCTAATTGAATGTTATATATTGATTTTATTGTTTTTTCCTTTACTTTCATGTACTATTTCATGTTTAAAATTTCATGCATGAACATGGTTCACTGTGGTAGGATTTTGAATGGACACTCAGAATTCCATGGCATGCCTGCATATTATGGTTTGCCAAGGCCCCTTACTTGATGGGATTGTTGTAAATGTCTTCTTTGTATAAAGAGCAACTAACTAAATGCTGTTGTTCATACATTTTCTTTTCCCATCTTTGTCCTAACTCCTCGGGGACTCTTTCTAAAGGTGGAATTGCTGGGTCAGAGTTTTATGGTTATTGTCATATATTGCACAACTGTGTCCCCCTAAAAGACTGCACTGATACTTTCAATATCACCAGGGGTATCTGACATCATTTGTCCTTGCTATTGATAATCAACTGTTTACTGCTGCAAACTGGATTTTGTCAATTTATTGGATATGGTTACTGACCCTTCATAGTTATTGGTGTTGCTTAGGTCATTGTGAAGGTAAGCCTTTTCCCAAGTACATTTTATAGTCTGTATGTCCACCTGTTGACGTTATATGGTGTTCTGTCTCCAAGCCACTGGGGCATTGAGAGGCCAGCTGAGCTGCTAGACATTAGAGGCACTCAGCAGGACTTTCTAAAAATTGGTTGACTTTGTCATTTGGCTGAGTATTTAAAATATGTGAGTTTTGTAGGACATTTAAAAAGAAATGTCACATTGATGTGTTTCCTGAATTAGTAGCAATGCCTATTTGTAATCACAGTGTGTGGCATTATTGGTTTCTTGCACTCTTGGGGGGAGGGTGCTTGACTGAGTATGACAATGTCATTAGCAGTTCTTGTCCCTCTGCAGCTTTTACTGGTCTCTGGACTCAGCAGAGAGAGCATTTGCTC